CAGGTTCCTTCACATAAGCCCTACTATCCAGGTTCCTTCTCATAAACTTACCATCCAGGTTTCTTTTCTTTTATCTCCAGAAAGCAGTCCACAACACTGTAAGACCTAGACCTGATCAAACACGATTGGTTTCACCTTTCCCCAGTAGGTCGCGATGCATCTAATACACGACCAGATAGCAATTCATTTTCACATCCCCGACTAAGAGATGATTCCCCAGTAGAATAACGGATGACTGAATCTCCTAAAATTCTATTTCTCTCAAGACATAGACCGACATTCCCCAACAAAATCCTCCTCAACAACAGGTATATGGGCTCTCGCAAAGGAATCTCTTATGCAATCAACACTTCTTCTGATGGCATCTTTAAGCCCATTTTCCGTCATTAACTTCCAAATGGCATCTATAAGCCCATTCCCTAAATCACAAGGCCAGTACCACTTCATGCGAGTGCAAATTTCTGGGCACTCTAGTGTTCAATCATCTTCCACCTTTGGATCACGAAAGGCAAGCAAGCCAATCTACATCCTCAGGTTTAAGAAGATTGAACATGGGAAGTTGTTGTACCTTAACATCTTCCCTCCCATATTTCTCAATACATTTCAAGTAAGGTCTTCAAATTGCCCAAGGAAGTTCAAGAGCTGACCAGACAAACTCTCTCCTAAAGGCAGTCTACCTCAAATTAGGGTTTCATTTTGCATCAAGATGTTTGAGTCCAAAGGGTCCCAATTTCTCACTATTGTCCTAATATGTTCTCAAGATCATCCATGTCAAGTTTCAAGCCTTGCAGAGGATGTTTGCTCAGTCAATTGCTGAAAGGCCTGAAAGTCGAATGTGCTAGGGCAAAAGTCAACTGTGGCCCACATACAATCAAACTTCAATATTTTTGATCAACATACTCATTTTGAAGTATTATTCATCATTTGATAAAGTTTTGATCATGATTCCTCAAGGATTGCTAACAATTCATCAAAACCCAAAAGTGCTAAATTAGGGTTTTGTAGGAAAAGTCAACTCAACTTTGACCAAGCATAACTTTCTCATACTTTATCATAAATGACCCATACAAAGCTCATTTTTAATAGGATGTAATTCCCTACAATTCATCTTCATCTCCCAAGTTCAAAATATGCACTCACAAGAAGATATAAATTTGGACATTATAGGTCATTTTGAAAAGTCAACAAAAACACCTTTTGGGTCAAAGCTTCTTACATGAACATGGAAGATCCAATTGAGATGAAACCAAATAGGTTGCTTATGGGAAATCCTAAGCTTTCTAAAAATGCAAAGAACACTCTCATAAGATTAAAATTGAGAGAGATATGCATTGTCAAAGTTGGACAATTTTTGAACAAAATGCATGAAGCAAATATTGACCAAACTTGGATTTTTTCCAAATGGGCCTATCTTTTCAAGTTTGAAACTCATTCCTAACATGGTCCACAACCACTAAGCCCACCCATACACTTTTCTACTATTTATTCTATTTATTTTGATATTTTATTCATTAAAATTCAGAATTAAATAAATAAATAATAGAAATAATGTAAATTTTGATGTGAATCCATTTTGGGCAAGTTTTATGCTGGTTTATGTCAATTGATTTCGTGCAATAACCATTCAAATATGTCCAGGTTCATCCACATGTGAAAATGGAATAAAATCATCAAATATGGCATTTTTTTCAAATCTTGATCATGGTCTTAAAATACAACATTATGAGGGAGATTCTTTCCATGCTTTCTTGTCTCCTCATTCTCCTCTATAAATATAGAGCCATACAAGCTTGAAAGGGACGAAATTCCTTTCCAAAAATCTCTCAAAAAGCTCTTCAAAAGCTCTTCAAAAAGCTCTCTAGAAATCAAAGAATTGGTGCAAGTCATATCTCGAGGTTCCGGTCTCTCTCAATTGACATCAAGCCTCAAACCATCATCTTGAAGTCCTCAGGAGTCTTACAAGGCCCAAGAGCAATCCATCACACGCCTAGCACGCCCCATTTGACAATACCGGTTTGGTAAAATTTTAAACTTCGAATCTCTAATTTTAATCATATTTTATGGTATGCTAACGTTTGTTTGAGTTTATGTAGAACCGTTATGGATGGTTGAATCATAGGTTCCACGCAAGAATAAAAAACACCATAGTTAGAGCATGAAGCTTTCGAAGATTCGGGCCTAGGGATTTCTGATGATTGCACCCCCTGTTTACTTTTGCTACTAGACCCATCTTTATTTTCTTGTTTTATTCATTTCATTTATTTCTTTTAGTCCATTTTTTATTTATCAATAAACAAATATAAAAATCACATAAAAATAGATTTAGGATTTTTTCTTAATTAAATTTTAATTTTGGTAAATTAATTAACTAAACACTTTAACTTTTTTTTAAAAATTAAAATTAATAGAACTTAGGTTTAATTTCATTTTAATTCATTTTCCTTTTCGTAACAAAAATACCAAAAAAACATAGAATTAATTTATTTTATTTAAATTTCATGTTTCTTTAATAATTATCTTTTTTAAATATAGATCTAGATCAATTATTTTTTAACTTAAACCATTTTTATAAATTAAAACAAAAAAAACAACAAAAAGATTTTTTTTTATATATCTTAGGATTTTTAGACGTCTTTTCAAATTTGCGCGTTATTATTCTTTCACACTTCATTTTATTATTGTAAATGTATATTGGGATGTTATAGATGATTAGTAGGACCTTTACCGCTTTTATTTATTTTTCCCTTAGTTTTGGATATGTACATAATCCCCCTCTCCGAAGCCTTGTAATAGCTAGGTTTTATATTTCTGCACTTTTAAATTACTGCAATTATTAACTGCTAGATGTATGACTAATAGGATTGTATGGCAAGAATAATCAAACATTAGCAAACTTAACACAAGACTAAAATAACTGAACATAACACACCTTGCACATATGCACCCTTAGGGTATACCTCACTTGGTTGCTTCGGAAAATAATGGTCATGTCCCTCGAACGTAGGGATACCTTTAGCAAAGGCCCTCGTTTAAAATAATCATAAAGATCATGGTCCCTCGATGTCCCTCGAAGTTGCCTACAGTATATGATCTTGTCCCTCAATGTTGCCTACGAATATATGATGACAGTCCCTTCGAAATGCTAAGGTATCTCTACATGTTGCCTTCAATGAACATTACGTCCCTTTCGAATTGACCCTTATAACTCCAACGACAGTGCTACCTGCTCTTTAATAGTGGGATAGCGTTGTCTAAAGGAAACAAGAACAGAAACATTCTTTTTCCGAGTAGGTAGATAACTGTTAGGTACTTGCTCAAAACAAACAAACTTTTTCATACCAAACACTTTTCAGAAAAAGTTTTCAAAAACACTTCGTAACACTCTTGAAGACAGAAGCAAGAGTTAAAACGAAGTAAAACAAAAACTTTCCAAAACACACAAACACAGAAGCAATTTTTAAATAATGAGCAAGTACCTAAGAGCCCATGGAAAACCATGGATGGAAAGGGTGCTAATACCTTCCCTTTCAATAATCTATCCCCCCGTACTCAAAATCTCGGAAAAGGAATTTTTTTGTGCTTTTTTCCTTTCTAGTTAGATAAAATAAAAGTTGGTGGCGACTGTTGTTTACTGCGACATTTTGCGACCACAAACGCAAAACGCAAACCAGCATTTTCTAAAACAGTCTGGTTCTGCCACCGTATCACACTAGGCATGAACACCAGGAAGGTTGGTTCAGGAATCAAGCCACCAAAAGAAGCTCACCAAGATGAAGTGGCTCTCCCTTACAAGAGTGAGGAGATGTGAGCTTGAATCCTCGGCGAGAATTCCACCTGATGCTTATTTACTTTATGATTATTTGTTTCATTTGCTGTTAGTTTTTTATCAAGCTAGTATCATATCTCTGCTTCTTGTAAGGACAAATTGTTTTTTGAGGACACACTTTTTCCCCTAGTGCTTCATGAGAATGAAAGGCTATTTAATAAGGCTCATCACACTATTATTTCTTAAATTTTTGCATTGATGTCTCCTATTTATATTTATAATAAACATAAGGATACTGAAGAAGCCCTCCCCTTGAGCTGAAAAAAAACATTAGATCTACACGAAGAATCCTTTCCTCCCTTGAGGCGATTAAAATGCTAGATCCTCACAAGGGGTCGTTACCGCCATTTAATAGTATATTATACAATTTAATTCATAGTATATCCTTTCCATATAGTTTTATCATACAATTTGATTCATAGTAGAAAATTTCCATAGACTTTGATCATACAATTTGATTTATAGTAGATCCTTTCCATAGACTTTGATCATACAATTTGATTCATATTAGATCTTTTCCATAGACTTTGATCATACAATGTGATTTATCGTATATCCTTTTTGTAGACTTTGATCATACAATTTGATACATATTAGATCCTTTCCATAAACTTTTATTATACAATTTGATTTATAGTAGATCCTTTCCTTATACTTTGATCATACAATTTGATTTATAATAGATCATTTCCGTAGACTTCGATCATACAATTTGATTCATTGTAAATCATACAATTTGATTCATATTAGATCCTTTCCATAGACTTTGATCATACAACTTAACTCATAATGCATCCTTTCCATAAACTTTGATCATACAATTTGATTCGTAGTAGATCCTTTCCATAGACTTTGATTATACAATTACTTAAAAAGAATAGAAATCATTTAAAGACATAATCAAAAACATTTTTATAAAGGTGGTTGTAATTTGGCTAGAATGGTTGTGAACAACTCTTTAATTCTCTAGATGGTCCAACTTGGGAGAAACAAATCAGTCAAAGCCGGGGAGATGTGCTTGAAGACCAAGAATATATCTTTCTCCTATGACCATTGGTGCATAATAAATAAAGATAATTTTGCTTTATCCCAAACTCTCTATATAAGTGGGGTTTCATTACTAGCTAGGTCACATTCCTTTTTCATCCATCTAGCTCTTTTCATATCACAAAATATGAGAAAATCATATGAGAATTCTAAGAGGGGGTCTTCCAAGGAAGTCACCAAAGCCATTGGGAGGCACAAAGATGATAAGATCAATTCCTCTGAAGGTGCAAGAACACAAGTTGACATGATTGTCAAAGCATCTATGGTAGGGAAAACTTCAGTTTCAAGGGAGAAAAAGCTCAAGAAAAAGAAGCATTCAACTAATGAAAGCGGATCACACATTGATGAGGACTAGAGGACCTTCCTCAGGTTAGGTGTAAATCCAATCCATTGATGGTGTAATTTCAATCCATTTTTAACTTCATAGGTTTTGAATACAACACAACTCTTCAAAGTTCCTAAATATCCAAAAAAAAAATTGCTTCAACTTATAGAAACCAATCGTTTCAACGCAACTCTTAACACATAATCAAATTGAAATCATTTGACACAATTATACAATGTCATTGATATGTGACTTTCAAAAGACCTCATTTATATTTCAGCTTCTTTACAAAAAATACAAATTTTTTCATTCATATTCATCAATCAACAACAATGTCGTGGATGACATAAATTTTCAACCAACCAACCATTGAAACTTGGATTCCTTCATATGAAAGAAGAGGGTTAATTCATCTTTATTACTTTATCAGGTGACACGGCCCGTGTCAGGTACCCTGTAGCTTGGTTTATGAGACTTCCTCCAAAACTCCGAATTTGCACTTTTCACACTAATTTTCCTGGTTTTATTCCTCTGAGCCTGAAAATAACAAAATACACAACCAAAGCATAAAACAAGGAAGAATAAAGTAAAAAACTTGACAAAATAAAAAACTATAACTAAAATCAACTGTAAGTAAAGGTGGAAAAACCACTAATCAAACGCCCCCAAACTTAAACTGTTGCTTGACCTCAAGTGCCCATTACAAGAACTCATGAAAATCACAACAGTCTGATACTAATACATGAGACATCCGTTCAAATTGATCAAAAAGCAGTATTTCCGATGTTTACATGACGCAAAGAGTTTGTTTAAGAACCTTTAAATCTCGAGCTTCCTCTTTAGATACCTCTCTAACTATGTTTTGTACTTAAGTCTTTTTTTCTGATTTTCCTCCTTTTTCATTCGTACTGTCAAATTAAGGCAATGAGAATTGTTGATGATCATGACACGCACAAGACTAATCAATAAATTTTTTGTTCATGCACCATATAAGAGATTTTGCTCCTTTTTAATTTCAGATGAAATTTTCAAAACTTTTCAGTTTATATATTGTCCTTTATGGACGATGTTTGGGGACCAACCCCTTTGGGATGAATAACCTGGTGAGGGCTACCAAACTTAGCGAGCCAGTTGCCTTTTATCTCCTTTTCATCATTTGATGCCAGCTTTATTTATTTCTCAACCAATCATACATGTATGTGAATCTATATTATAACAGACTGTAAAGATAAACTACTCAAGGATTACTTCTCAGGATTTAAGCACTATGGTACAAATCTACACGTTAGACTCGTATCACTTTCACATTATTCCTAACTTCCTACCCTCGATCAAACATCCCTTTATCTCTATATACTATTCTCGATCTCTATGAAATGCAAACTCTTGAGAAAAACAACACAAAAATTCGGTCCAAGTTAGGGAAAGACTTCAACTCATGGATTTACCCCGTAATTAGCATAGAACCAACAAATAATTAGAAACTAAAAGCAATAAAACCCACAAACATGAACTAAACATTGCTCCTAATGTTTCAAAACAAGCTCGAGGAAGCTGACTTGCAGAGGGAAATACAACCCATGTTGCTGCCTCCTAGCTTTCACCAGTAAGACTCCCTTTTTTATTACCTGCAGACAAAATGAAACAAACACAAAAAGAAAAACTAATTTATTAAAAGCATGGATTTCCTCCCCCAAAGCGCTTCGTTTAACGTCCCATGGCTCGATGGTTCATCCCCTTATGGGGGGTATTTCCTCTCCCACACCTTGTTACTTGCCCTTTCCGCAACCCAGAACTCATTAAGATCAAAAGTATTAACCCCTTTTCTGCTTCCAGCCACTTCCAACCTTTATCTTCTCAGGTCAGTGTTCCTTCTTCTTTCTCTTCTTGATTGAGCTTAGGAATTTTTATTGATGCAACCTGAGATATTTTTCCTGAAGATTCTTCATGGAGTGATTTTGAACTGTTTCTTTCTCCTTCTACTTTGATCATTCCTACTGAACATTTATTCTTTTCACCTGCACCTTACTTCTTGATTTCTAACACCTTCAAGGTTATCTCCTCATAAAATGATTTTAGTGTCATTTACTTGTCTCGATATCAAAATTGCATCGACTAGTAAGCAAAAAGGGTCGACCAAGAATGATAGGAGTCTCTTCATCTTCAGGAATGTCAATGATCTATAAATCTATTGGAAAAAAATTGTCAATTTCCACCAATACATCTTCAACTATCCCATATGACTGCTTGATGAAATGATCAACAAAATTCAATTTTGTCCCACTCTCGCTTATCTTCTCAATACCCAGCTTTTTGAAAATAGACAATGACATCAAACTCACACTAGAACCATAATCAATTAGAACCCTCTTGAATTTCCTGTCTTTTATGGTGCACGATATTGCAACATATCGCAGATCCTTCTGCTTGATAGGAATTTTTTCTTGGGTATGATTGCACATATTTTCTCATCAACACGTACCTGTTCATCTTTTGTTGGTCTCTTTTTTGAGAGTACCTCTTACATGAATTTCTGGTACAAGGGCATTTTCTCGAGTGCTTCAAATAACAATATGTTGATCTCTAGATTTTTAAACAATTTGACAAATTTATCAAACTCTTTCTCTTTCAGGTCCTTCTTTTCCACTCGAGATGGATACAGCAACTTGATCGCTAGTTTAGTATTCTCTTCAACTAGGTTTACAAGTGCTACAACTTATTCCTATTTTTTCTTGTTCTCTCTAACTTCCAGCTCTACTTATATGATATTGTCATCAAACTTCACCTTGTTTTTCTTTTCTCCAGCAACCTTCTCATTCCTTGTTGTGACAACATTAGCATTCTCATGATTTTTCTGATTTTCTTGTGCTTTCAACACTACCTGTTGTGCAATCTATCCCATTTGAACTCCCAAATTTTTGATTGCAGTTGTGGTATTCATGTGATTACTCCTTGTCTCTTCTTGAAATTGAGAGGTGTGGGTAGCCATATTTTCAATAGCCACTTCCCACTCTGCCTTTTGAGGAGCTTGTTGTTGTTGAACTTTCTAGGAGAAGTTAGGATGATTCTTCCACTCAGGATTATAGGTGTTGCAATATGGGTTATTTTTCCTCAAGAATTTTTTCTCCTCAATTTGTTGTGGAGTTTCAAGGCATTACACAGTTATGTGTGGTCCCCTATAAATTTTACAACTGACTGTCTGAGCAGTTTGAACTTGGGCTACAGTTTGGGTACCTAAATTCATAGCCTTTAGTTTTTTCTCAACTTAAGTGGCAATTTGGTATTCTATCTTCACCCCTTGATTTTCAAGTTTCAACTCAATCACTACCTCTGGTTCAATCACACTTTGGTCATATAATTCCAGGTGTTCATTTACAACAATGGTTTCAATGATCTTCCTAATACCAGTTGTTGTTGTAAAGTTGGAAGAGACACCGTCATCTGTATCAATAAGCTTCTTTGTCTTTATTCTGAGTCCATTGACAAACATCTGTGTTTGCTCAGTTTGATCCATATTGTAAATTGGGCAAGCTACCAACAACCTCTTGAACCTCTTGTAAACATCACCTAGGGACTCTCATTCTTTTTGCTTCAAATTCACAATATCATATCTTTTGTGAATTTAAACAAAAATTGGAAAGTACTCATCAAGAAAAATATTCTTCATCTATTCCCAAGTAGTAATATTCCCAGTGGATAATGAGTAAAACCATTATTCGGCATCTTCAGAAAGCGTGAACGAGAACATACTAAATTTATTGGCTTCTTCAGAGTGCCCCTTAATCTTCAAAGTAGTACTCATGGTTAGAAATCTCTGCAAATGCTTATCGACATCTTCATTAATCTTTCAAGTGAAATATTTGTTCTCGAGCTGGCGGATGGTTGAAGGATGCAGTTGAAAACTTGCAATAGTCACCGGTTGATTCACGATAGTCAACCGACCTGTTGGAGCATTTGCTCCTCCATAGTCCCCAAGAAGTCTCTCTGGTGGTGGTGGGTTTTCACCCATAGTTTCCAGTTCTGATTTTAAACTTGAGTCTGTATATCAAAAGGAAATTCACCTGAGGGTTTTCCTCGCATGCAAAGGTTAGAAAAAACCAGTAATAACAAAAAATATATAAAAATTACAGAAAAGAAAATTTTAGTTGCAGAGCAACAAAGTTCTAATTGAACTAAAGTTACACTCAATAACTTGACAGTCCCCGGCAATAACGCCAAAAACATGATGGGGAAAAATAGCAAGTGTACTATTTTTTCCTCTTGTAATAATAGGGATATTCCCCGAATGTCGATCTCAAGGACTACTTGAAATTATCAAGTTAAATTCATAGTTCAATGAAACAAAACTTAATATGAGTTTTGGTTTTGATATTGTTACTTAATAAAAATCAGAAATATAAAATGGATGTTTCACATATATGAGGAGCATTCTAGGGTGTGGTGTGTAACTTGCCCTATAACGACCTTAAATCCTGATTTCTTCAACAAGTTCATAACATTCAACCAGCCCTTTATATTATTTTCCCTTCAGTCCTTAGTGAGAAAACATTTAACCATCCATCTTAAGTCCTAAGTCCTTAGAGATATCTGATGGAGTCAAGCCTTTATTTTATCAAGGGTTAAATCTGGTAACTATAGGGTATCCCTCATCCTATGGTATATCTACTATAGCCTAATCGTACAAAAACCTTAACAACTGCGGTCTAGCTGGTTGTTAACTATAAATCAATCCTAATTGGTCCGATCAGGAAACAAGAAAATGTTACACGTTTAAATTAAATAAGAAAAACACTTTATTAAAGAACTCAGGAATTCATGATTTTTACAGATTCAAATCAGATACATCGCCTAGCATTAGGGGGTTTAGCCATTCATATTGTTCAAAAGAATTACAAAAATATAAGAATTGGACATTACAGATCATGAAGGAACTTTGGTGTTCAATCGCCTCCGCTCATGAAAGATCTTAGTTCTTCAAGAATCTCATATCCTCAATCCTACACTCTGGAGTTCGTTCTCTGCCAAAAAAA